ACTTTCTCCTCTATGGGTAGAGAGATACTAAGGTTTTCAAGGAGTAAAGTCGCCATATATGAAAATCTACACCCTCCAGCTTTTCTTCTCAACCTCTGATTGTTTCCTTTCAATCTCCTTTGGTGGCTTTTCTCCTTTGACCCATGCCTTAAAAGTTGCTCTTGCCCAGGTTTCTATACTTGCCTGTTACGTGTTTCACTATATGCATTTTCAGGATGATTCTACTCACTTATTTGGTTTTAACGGCCATTTATTCACAAATAATGCCCAAATCTCTTATCTCCAGCTCTAGATCTTCCACTCAGGCTCCTTATACATATACCCACATACACAAACACATACACATCCCTAGGTGAATGGATCTCTTCACCAAGGTATGTCAGTAGTACCTTAAACTCAACATCTTCAATTCTGAACACATTATCTTCCCTTCCCCAGCTCTATCCCTAAGTCTGAACATTCTCTTGAATTCCTCACATAAGTAAATGAAATTGGCACCACCATCCACCAAATGGCTCAAACCAGAATCTTGGGTGTCATCTTTAATTCCTTCCATTCCCTCACCTACTTTATCTGATCCACCACGAAAAATTCTTGCTATAACCTCAAATCCTTCTACCTTTTATTCATTCTGATTGCCAATAGCTTATTCAGGTCATCATCCCTAAACTAGATCATTGCAAACAGCCACCTAGTGGGTCTGCCTACCCTTCTCCAACCAACTCTCTACTGTGTAGTACTAAAACACACATCTGATCACTTAATTCCCCTGCTTAAGAGCATTTAATAGCTCTTTAATGTCTATAAGATAAAGTAATTCTTTGACCTGAGCCCTACCTTTGTACCCTCAACTTTCCACCCCACCCTGTACTTAATTGTATATTCTCTGTGCCTGTCATACTCAACTACGTGTAGTTTCCCAAACTTGTCATTCTCTTTCATCTCTCAAGTCTTTGTACATGTTGCTCCATCTGTCCAAAATGTTATTCCCAGCTCCAACCCCTATTAGCACATCTCATCCGATGAAATCCTACCTGTCCTTAGAACCTTAGATAAGGTACCTACTCCTATGGGGAGCCCTCTCACTGAGTTAGTTGTCCCCATATAGCACCTTATATATACCTCCATCAAACAGCATAGCACGTGTATCTATTTTACTTCCCTTACTAGATTGTGAGTCAGTGTATTTTTATTTATCTTTGCATTCTTAATATCTAGCACAATTCCTTGCACAAAGATTCTCAATAAAAATGAATGAACAGTGATAGTATAAAAACTTGATGACACTAAAAGTCAAGGTTACTGACTACATACTTTTTTAGCCACAAATTACATCTCTAACAACAGCTATTTATCCAAAATGTGTGTGACATAAAGATTATACATCACCAAACTAACCATTAACAAAAAAAAAATCATATACACAAATATGTATTAGTACTTATCCATCCATCAAATATCTAATGCATACCAGCAACTGTGCTAGTGCTGGAGATACAAAGATGACTAAGACCTATGATGTAAGAGTTTAAAGGGTAGTGGGGAAGACAGGGAAGTGAATGATTAAGAGTATGATAAATGTCATGGCACTCTTATACAGTGTTATAAAAACCTGGGCATAGTTGTGACACATAGCCAGTGGGGTTTGAGGAAGTGAGACTTCCCTGAGGAGGTGGTATGGAAGCTAAACATAGAAAGACAAATGGAAGTTAGCCAGGCTGAGGAGATACCTTTCGCAAATCCCAGACAAAAAGTAGGAAGATGAAGTAAAGACTACAATATGTTCAGCTACGGCAAATTTCAGCATTGCTGGTGTCTGCATCTAAAGATGGAAGTGGCAAGAGATGAGGCTGGAGGTGTAAGCAAGGCCACATCATAGAGGGCACCGTACGACATACAGAAAATCTGGACTTTCTCCTACAAGCCAGTTATATCTAAACTGACCCAGACTCACTCATTTCAACCACAGCAGCTCTGCTTTCATCGTTTTAAGTTGTTTCAGTTCCCTCATTAAGTCTTTTTTTAAACTTGGAAAATCACTAACATAGGCAGCAGAGAAACACCGAAAGATTTCACACAGCAGAGTGATGTGACTGGTGGCAGTGTGATAAATAAACTAGAGAGCTGGAGATAAAGTCAGGAGGTTATGAGCTTACCCAGCTGAGAAATGACAAGGTTTGAATGAGGGAAATGACAGTGACATAAAGAAAAAGAGATATGGAGAGCTATTAAAGTTAGGGGATGTAAGTGAAATATTTTCAAAGTATGTATCATAGTACCTAGAAGAGCTCAATAAATGTTTTCTATTATTATCAAAATCATCTGAATAAATCTGGAGGATAAAGCAAGAAAATCAACAGAAGTTTCCAAGTGTCTTAAGTTGAGCAATGGGGTAGACGATGTTATCATTCCAAAAGACTGGGAGCAGGATGCTGTTTTTTGGGTTCTGTACATTTTGAGGTGAGAATGGGGAGGATGAATTCATGGCTTAATATTAGCCATGTTAAGGTGCCTGTGGAACATCTAGATGAAGATATCAGATGATAGGGTACATGAAACTGGGGCTCAGAACAGATTCAGATCAGGAGATATCAACAGTATGCAGACAACCATTACCCTCAGATAATGGTGCCAAAGAAGCCCCCAAATCTAAGCTTAAGGTGTGGGAGAATCAATACCGAGATGTATCTAAACTTTCAAAAGCTATCAAGTCTGAGGATGTACAAGAGAAGAAGAAAAGTTTTGTCACTTTGAAATGTCATTTTTATTATACTATAATGTCTTAAGACAACCATATTATCAAGCTTTTCTAATTGATTCACTGCTTGTCAAAGTAAGATCTAGGTTCTTATATTTTTAATCAAACTTTATTTTTGGAATATGAGTAAACTCAATTTGATTTATAAAATAGTCTTCATTCTAGGAAGACCTCATGTTCCGGAATAAGAAAACACAAAATAGGCCAGGGACGGTAGCTCTTGCCTGTAATCCCAGCCTGTAATCTTTTGAGGTCAAGAGTTCAAGACCAGCCTGGGTAGCATAGCAAGATTCCATCTCTACAAAAAATATTCAAAGTTAGCTGGGTGCAATGGCATGCACCTGTAGTCCTAGTTACCAGGAGGCTGAGGCAGGAGGATAACTTGAGCCCAGGAGTTTGAAGTTACAGTGAGCTATTACCATGCCACTGTACTATAGTCTGGGCAACAGAGTGAGATCCTGTGTCAAAAAAAAAAAGGAAAGAAAAAGAAAAAGAAAAAAACAACACACATACCTACACACAAAGTAAATTTGAAACTAAAATTACACAAGGTAAATTTAGAAAAAGTACTTAATGTCTTTATGTCCCACATTCCCCATTTGTCAAATTGGGATAACACCACCTACCTTACTTGGCTGTGATAAGAATTAAGTTATATAACATGTATAAAGAAACTAATATGTTGACTAGCATATAGTACAAGCTCAACAAATAACAACTTTTACTATCATTCTACTTTTGAGAAATGAGAACCAAGCATTTTATTTTTAATTTTAGGTTAAATAAATTCATCAAAAATATATCTGAATTAATATTTTAAAGCATACTGTCTCAGTACCTGCGCTTCAAGGTAGCAGATTTTCCTTTTTTTTGAGACAGAGTCTTTCTCTGTCGCCCAGGTTGGAGTGCAGTGACGCAATCTCGGCTCACTGCAACCTCCACCTCCGGACCGAGTTCAATCAATTCTCCTGCCTCAGCCTCCCAAGAAGTTGGGATTATGAGCATGCACCACCACGCCCAGTTAAGTTCTGTATTTTTAGTAGAGATGGGGTTTCACCATGTTGGCCAGGTTGGTCTCAAACTCCTGACTTCTTGACCTCAAGTGATCCGCCCACCTCAGCCTCCCAAAGTGCTGGGTTACAGGCATGAGCCACCATATCTGGCCCAAGGTAGCAGATTTTCTGACATGCAAATCCATGATATGTCAAAAAGACTGAATTGAGAGATTAACACAAGCAGTCGTGCATACAATAGTGAAATAGTAAAAGCGAATTACAAAGGCAAGATGTGTATGAAAACTGAATCCAATTTAGAAATTCCATCCAGTTGTTCCCAAATCTTAGCTATTATAACAGAGGAGTTAATATGCTTTCAAAATGGATTCAGAACAGGTTAAAAGAAGATTAACTCATGCTACTTTTTAGATTCCCACATATTTACAATGAGATAATATATGGGAAGGCACTATAAGCTATGATAAATCTAATTTTTTTTTTATATTGTAGCATTCTGAAAAACATTGTAGTTAATATCTAACAGAAAATAAAAAGTATGTTTCTTCTTTCTATTCCTATTCAATGAACAATTAAAGTACCAAGATATAATAGTCAAAAGCACTTAATAGAAAGGTGGGAGATTAGGGGTTTGTTTGGGGGGCATATAGAAATGGAGAGATTTAATCTATGCTTTATCTTAAACCCAAGTTTTCCATCAACCTCCTGTTTATCATCACATTCAAGAAAAATGGGAAAAACATAATTGTAGATATTTTTCCTAGTTAAAACTTTCTAAGTTTAAATTTTGATGAAGTTCAAGAAAATAATACTCAAAATCAATTGGCTGATTTTTACAATCATCGAATATGAAGCCTAAAATACAACAGCATATATAGGTTGTATATACCCACACACATGTGGAAGAAAAGGGGCAGGCATGAGGTTTCCAAGCCTCTTGGAGAATTACTTGTTACTTTAAACAAAATCACTCATGAGAAAAATAAAATGATGCATTTGGTTTATTCTCAAAGGAAAGATCACTATTTCACAGAATAGTAAAACTTGTATGCTATATATTTCACATATTAGTGATTAAAATTAAATAATTCCAGTCTTTTTCCTAACTTAAGTTTATGTATGATACACACATACATGTATATAGGTACAGACATATATGTGTTTATGTAAATTTTAATCTTGTATAGAGATATTTAGGAAGTATTAAATGCTATCGTTAATAAACTTACGAATCAACATGCAGAACTCTCCGGCCACTTCTTGAACATGCAGCTGCAATGATGGATTCAGGCAAACCTATAAAAACACACACCTGTATCATTTAGAATGTAGAAATATATATATTTCACATAAAATGTTCAACTCATGCCATTGCTATATAGAATAGTTTAACCAAAGAGATCCATCCTCGCTAGTATTCAGAATTATAAAGTTTATATCAATTATACTGTAAGATGTTTCTTAAACATATACTACTCATACTGAAAATTTTATTATGTGGAAGAGATTCAGGTTTGTTTTTTTTTTTTTTTTTTTTTGAGACGGAGTCTCACTCTGTCACCAGGCTGGAGCGCAGTGGCGTGATCTCGGCTCACTGCAACCTCCGACTCCCTGGTTCAAGCAATTCTCCTGCCTTAGCCTTCCGAGTAGCTGAGATTACAGGCACGCGCCGCACACCCAGCTCATTTTTGTATTTTTAGTAGAGACGGGATTTCACCATGTTAGCCAGGATGGTCTCAATCTCCTGATCTTGTGATCCACCCACCTCGGCCTCCCAAAGCGCTGGGATTATGCATGAGCCACTGCGCCCGGCCAGAGATATTTTTTAAAAAGCAGTTCTGCTTAATTTGGCAAGAAAAAATAATTTTTAAAAGTACTTACAATATTTTTGTATGTAAATTACCATCAATGAGGAATTGTAAATACTATATAATATTCAGTTAAAAACCATGTTCACACACTAGCTTATCTGAGTCTCCCAACTGCACTGAGAGGTAACCATCTGCATATGCATTTTAGAGAAGAAAAAGAACATGGGACACGAATATCTTAACTTTCTGCCCAATGATTAAAACAAAAAAAAAGTTCTAGAGTTGAAATTTAAACGCAGATATAACTCCGAAGCCACAATGCCTCTGAAGAGGAATGGCACACATTTTTTAGCTTAAGAAATATGTCAGCTAGTTTAGAAATTAGCTGTTCATAAGATACATTATTTTGCTTTTGACCAATATAGCAGTATGAAAACAAAACATTACTGCTTTGGAATCAAACTTAATCATACCATAAAGCTGATTATCATAAAAAGACATATATATATTACTTCTACCAGCACCAACAAAAAATTAAAAATTGCCAAAGATAATGATGTTTTATGATTTTAAAAAATCAAGTTTTCTATTTGATAGTTAATACCCTGTAAGTTCCAGACTCTTCAATAACTTTCTGTCATATGATCTACCATGTTGATAGAAGCTAGTATTTTTTATATTAGTTATAAAAATAAAGCATGCTTTAAAAGTTTAGTGCAATTCTGTAGTGCTACTATGAACTCCTTCACCATGATGAAACATCCTGATCTTCTCATGTTCTTACTTAGTGGAAAAGAAACAGCACCAGTCTTTTGACAAGGGTTTAAACTACACACTAAGCATCAAGGATTTCAGGAAAAGGGAAAGTCATCTTCTGTATATAAAAAACAATATGCATATGGAAACAATTGATATAGTCAGTCTCTAGCTAAAAACCATATTAAACACAAACTCCAGCCTGCCTTCACAGAGGACTAGTTTTCCAGTGTTGAACATTTTGTAGGCATATAAAGCTTGGTTCAAAAAAAAAAAAAAAGTTCTAACGAATGTATTGAAAATAACCATTAAATATCAATCACTAAAAACAAGTCATCATAAAGTTCCAACCTTAATTTTAGATGTAATTCAAGTAAACAAAGTAAGAATATCTGGAGTAGAGGGAAATAGGAGAAAGTTTTAAATAGCTAAATGTAGTTTTTAAGTTAAAACCCTTATTGAAATCTTAAGACCATCTGAACTTTCTGTCACACTTAAAGAAATAACTCTCCTTTTTAGTGAAATGTAGTCATTATGGTACTTTAAAAGCTGATAAGCAGCTTAGTTAAAAGGATAATGGCAAAGAAATACTCAAGAAGCAGAATTAGTATTTTAAAGATTAATGCTCTTATGTGTAATAATGACAGCATTAATAACAATGCCACCAAATATTAGTATAGGGTTTTATCCTTCACAGTGTATTTTCACATACATCATCTTATTTATTCATTATAATCCTAGGAGGCAGGCAGTATTATCTATGTGAAGAAATAGGTTAAGAAAGGTTAAATAACTTGCCAAATATCAAGTAATTCCGTAATTCCATATCCCCACTTCAAATTACCTTGTTAATTCACTATCTCCAACTTGGATGCAAGTTTGAAAATGAGGATTTAAGGACAATACAGCAACAAAATAAAACAGGCATGATCTCAATCAGAACAGACTTAGACTTGAATCTTGGTTTTGCTACTTACCTAGCTGCACAACCTCAGATAAGTCACTTGACTTCTCTGAGCCTTTGTTTCTTCATCTATCAATGAGAATATCGTGATCTACCACATAGGATTCAGTTCTGTTTTTAGCAAGGGTACTTGCCCTATGAACACTATCTACTCTTATTATCCTTCAGAACGATATTTCAGAAGCATTATATTTCCATCTAACACTACCCCAAACATACACATATTTTGACCAGATGCCAACTCCAATGGTGAACGATAATAAAATTACTCGCCTCCATTTGGTCCAAAATAACTGTTACTTGGGGTAGGCAGTTATGCATGTGGTTATTTCCATGGCTGTGATCAACAATGTCATAAGTCAAATCTCTACTATTAAAGCAAAGCCAAGAATGGATTTCAATACCGAACATGATCTGAGTCCAAATTACATAAAGCCAAAATGACTATCATTTGTGTTTTTCCTTAATACTTCCATCCAAACATTCCCATAAGTTTGTGAAATTCATAAGCTGTTCTAATGTTAAATGGCAAGGGCCTATTATCTTCATGCTTAGAATGACTAAAATAGCAAACTAATAATACAGTTAACAATGTCTTCTTGGCCAAGATTTCATATTTCTTCTCACCCATTCAATAAACAGAATTTCCAGGAGACAGGAGGCATGTAGTAGGTTCTTTATAAATATTTGCTGAAGAAAAGACAAAAAAAAGAAAATGGGGGAAGGGGACAGGAAGGGAGAGTGAGAACAAACTGTGCTAGGTAGTGAGAAGTTGCCATACATTTTTTTTGCAAGATAATCCCTACCTGTTAGAGCTCAGAGTCTATGTAACAAGAATTTAAAGAGATTAAAAAATAATAAGTTTATTTAAAACTGTCACAGAAACACAATGGAAAGAAACACTCCCTCTGTAAAGGGAGTCATGGAAAGCTCCAAAGAACAGGAGAAATTAGCTGGGTCTTTCAGGGTCTCTAACAACCCTAACTGAGGAGTGCAGAAGACGGAAAAAGGAAAGTGGAAAGGAGCATTCCTGGTAAAGTTAAAGGAAGGGAGAACCAAAAAGTGATGCTTTGAAAAAAGTGTTTGGATTGGCCTACTTCGCTTAGCATAAAGTTTTCAAGGGTTATCCATGTTGCAGCATGGATCAGTACTTCATTACTTTTCTTTTATAACCAAGTAATATTCCCTTATATGGATATACCACGGTTCTCTATCCATTCTTCTCTCGATGGACATTCAGGTTGTTTTCACATCTTACCCATTGTGAACACTGTTGCAACAAACATGAAGCCAGTCACAGAAAGACAAATGTTGCATGATTCCACCTATATGAGGTATTTAAAATAGGCAAATTTGCAGAATAAAAAAGTGAAATGGTGGTTGCCATAGGTTTGGGGGAGAGGGAAATGGGGAGTCGCTAATCAACTAGCATGAAGTATCAGTTATGAAAGAAGAATAATTTCTAAAGAACTGCTCTACGACATTGTACCTGTAGTTAACAACACTGTATTGTACACTTAAAAAATTTGTTAAGAGCACAGATCTCATGTCAAGTCTTCTTATCAACATAAAACAAAATTTTAAAAAATTTCCAAGAGGTTGAAGCCAAATTATAGTATCTGAACTTGAACCTCTAAGGAATAGGGAGTCTTGAAAAGACTTTAGCCAGATCATGCTCAAATCAGGGTTTCAAAACATAAAAATAAAAAATGTAGTCAAAGCAAGGAGATAAACTTGTATAAAACTGGAGCTTTATGCTTCATGGTTGTTAAAAAATATTTAGGGCTGGACACGGTGGCTCACACCTGTAATCCCAGTACTTTGGGAGGATGAGGCGGGCAGATTACTTGAGGTCGGGAGTTTGAGACCAGCCTGACCAACATGGAGAAACCCCGTCTCTACTAAAAATGCAAAATTAGCCAAGCGTGGTGGTGCATGCCTATAATCCCAACTACTCGGGAGGCTGAGGCAGGAGAATGGATTGAACCTGGAAGGCGAAGGTTGCAGTGAGCCGAGATCATGCCATTGCACTCCAGCCTGGGCAACAAGAGAAAAACTCTGTCTCAAAAAAAAAAAAAATTATTTAGGAAAAGTTAACATACTTAAAACTTTTTGGTCTTATTGCTATTTGGTAAAATAATAAAATGACTGCTTGTTTTGTTTAAATTAATACTTCTAAGTGCATACTAAAAAGTTTTTGGTCTTATTGCTAATTTAGTAAAACAGTGACTGTTTTGTTCAGATTAACTAAGCTCAATTTTCACAGCACTTAAACTCTTAATTTCAAAATAACACCTGTTCAACGCTTACAAAAGTGAACAACTACTCAGGTTCACACAATTTGTGAGGCATTTACATGAAACATGTATGTGCTTATTTTGAACTATACAGTCTCTCCCACGAGGAAAAGCCAGACATGAGTTAGATACAGATAACCTAGATTAGGGTCAAATCACACAGCATTCCACTGGAAACACTCTGTAAAATGTGTGAGCACAAATATACAAGTACAATGTTTTCCACTGTAAGACGGAGTTAATAATACATCTCATATGGGTGCAGGGAGGAACAGGTACAAAACGATATTAAACACTATACACAGTGGCTCTTGGCATGTCACTGACATTCAATAAATGTTGCTTCTCTTCCCTCCTCTTCCTTCCCCTTCAATAAGATTAGCTATTTGAAGGAAAAAAGCTATCACTTGCTTACTATCTACTTATCTTCAAAGATCTAGCAACTTAAAATCATTTTTTAAAAAGTCC